AAACTCCCTGGCCGGTTTGCCTCCGCCTTCGGCAGCCCACGCGTTGCTGTCTCCCAGGAATAAAAGCGCACGTTTCTAAAGTACACGGCTGATATGCTGTTAGGGGGATTCTTTATGGCTTGTTCCTGTTTGAGCATGCTGCTGCTTCGTTTCTCCATTAATTTTACAGAAGAAAAAAACGGCTCGTTTTCTGCAAAATATACGGGGGCCATATGAATTTAAATAAAACTCGTATACATCATAATTTTAATAACATTTTCTTACGTATTTAAATATTTAGTATTCTTCTAGTGCAAAGTAATTTGAGAGAATATGCTATAAAAACATTTCCCTTTACAATATTTTATTCTGAACGTGCTAAAAAAGCTTTTGATGGCATACAATCCATCTCGATACTTAAGGACACCGCCCTAGGAATAATATTCGTCTAATCAGGTGTGTATTTCGTTGTTTGTCCGATCGTGCATCAATTATTTGTCATTCTCATGGAAGAACGTTTACTGGAATTACTCACTGGCTGCCCACCGTAGTGTTTTTTCCGACCGGCGTCCTTGGTCTTTTACACAACTCTCCACCCAATTAATTTAGAATCTCCTCAATGTCATGTGCAGGGTCTTTTACGAAAAAGTGCACAGACAATTAAAATACGTTTATAACGTTCTGTAATTTAATTACAAGTTAATAATAATTAGATTAAAGTCTATTACTAACATCATTTTTTTACTTCAACAATGTAATTTGAAAATCGTTTGAATGATTACTATAATTATTTAAATCTAAACTTATACGCAACCAACTATAAAACTACCGGTGGACCTGAAAGGGTATAAGCTCCTTTGGCGCTTGAATAGAGCCATCAGGGCGGACTACATCGACTTGATGACTTGCTCATTGCACAGCCCGCGTTCCGGCGTGACCACCCAAGAGCAGGTGTAATTAGCTCAACGGCAGTTTACTTCTGCTTTTTAACTGCCTTCAAGCCTCGTCGTGTTTTATCTACTGGAATCGCAAGATCCTGTGATGGGGAAAATCGAGATACCCCCCGGCGCATGTAGCTACGCACAACCCGCCCGGAGTGCGGTGCAATTAAGCCCAGGAATGCATGCGGTCGACAATTGCCGGATTGTAGCACATCCGAGGCATTCTGGAGTTGAGCTGCCGACCGGCAGGTCCTACGGTTCGAATCCCGACGGTGGCAGGGATTTTCGACACTAGCTAGATAGCTAGGTCGGATTCAGCTGTGATCGGTACTTAACCGTGGTTTTTCCTGTCAACACCAGGTTAATGCATTACCCTAACAAATAAACCACGGACCGCGCACAATCTTTCTTTCCTTTTCCTTGTCCTTTCTTCGCCGTCTTTCTCACACCCACTTACACTCACATGCACTATACCACACATGTCGGAACACCAGTCGTGAGCTAATAGTTTCCCCGACTGGGGCGGCGTCCCGCTGGTGGGAGATACCTGGATAGGGCAACTCCCCGCAAGGCGACGTCTTTGCCGGATTTCTCCATCCAGCGAGGGAAGATAACCTCTAACTCCAGCGATAAAAACATGCACTACACCTACGAGACTAATGATCTTAGCAGTTGACACGCCCGGAATCATTAATCAATCAAACTGGAATATAGAACGATGTTTTCCTCCAAAAGCGGCCGACATGATCAGCCGGGACTATGAAGGTGGTTGTATCATATTAACTTCGAATCGAAAAGCCTCGGGTTTGAATCCCAGCGGGCATGGATGTCTCTTTGAGTGTTGTGACTTGGTGGAGCTTTCCCAACGACGAAGTGACACCTTTCACTAATTTTCTTTCCATTTCTGGCCGGACGTAGAAGAGCAGGGAATGGGCATTCGCGCCCATTAGGAGTTACATCTGTGCAGTTTGAAGCTTTCGTAAGGAATGGATGTTGTGATGTGTCACGGTGGTTTATCCCAATCATCATATATCATCCTTTAAATTGTCATTCTGTCCATTCCAGGCGCTAATATCCTCCACAAAACTGGCTACCTTTCGCCGAGATTGGAGTACGAGGTACCTCGCAATCATTGCCAGTAGATTCTGGTCGAGTTGGGCCTTCGGAAATCTTCAGGCAGAAGAGAACTGTGGGGTTTCCATCACGAAATATAAATATATAAATGTGAAAATGAAAAGAGATTTATGAGGTGACTGGGCGGGCAGGGCGTTGAGCGGTCCGTAGGGGATGAAAGGATAAAAAATAAGCACGAGAACTAGTATTCCGTCCGAAGCGGCTAGATCAGTGTATTGAGGTTAGTTGGTAGTGATTCCGGTCAACTGCTGTGGTCATGGGTCACGTAAGTGTAGTGCATGTTTTCCTCTCGCGTGTTGGCGGTGGTATTCCACCTCTGAATGGCGAGATTCCTCAACCAAGTGTCTCCCACCAGCGGGGTACAAATTCTAAGCTCCCGGCTCCGGGCCGGAAGGGGAAGACTGCAGCAGATCCTCCACAGCAGCGAACATCACGAAGATGTGTTGAAGGCAATCACTGAATGAATGTTTTACAGTTCTGATCGTTCGTTTCTGTGGTTTCTTTTGAACAATTCCACGTAACTATGCAAGACATATTGCAAGAAATTAGTCGTGGACCGCGCCAGATCTTTCCTTCCTCTTCTAATTCTTTTATCCATCCTTAGAGCCGAGCGACGTGCAGAACCCCATTCTCATATGACCAATTTTCTATTTATCTGAACATTATCGGCAAGCTTCGGGGTGTACGCGAGTTGCAGACTCACAGCGATCATCTGGGGAAAACCCAGAGACACCAAATATGTTCCGGATTGGGTTAACGAAATAACCTATTCTCTTTCATAGTGACATAACTCTTACTCTGAAGATGTAAACAATTTTAAGGGTATTTTCACATTTAAATAGTGCGTGGTTTTATTAAAATATGCAGCCACTGGCAACTTTCCTATCAGGAAACCGAGACACGTTGAATTATACCTTGCTTACCCCAAACGATGAACCGGAAGGGGATTTGTGTAATACTTTCTTTCCATGTTTCACCATCCTCCCAATTTTGTCTATCCTCTCCTGAAAACTACAATATTTTAATAAACCGTTCGATTCAAACTTTCAAACAACTTAGTGTATCTTATATGTAAGTTACGTCAAATAACGTCATATGGTCGTTGTTCTATTATGTGATGTATTTTTACTAATATAACGGTATCAGTTTTTACACATGAATGAAAAGTTTTTACACTTTATATATTCCGCTTCACGTATTAGCAATGTGCTGAACATTACCAGAAAATCAATGAAATTTCCACAATTCTTATTGAAGTGTACATATGAATAACAAGATTCGTTTCCGAGTCCCAAATATCCATCCATAGAATCTAGGGATGACGATTCAACTTGACATACCGTTCCTGAGTAGCATACTCTTCCTTGCTCAGAAAGAAGAAATGCCCCATTTCCAAAAATGTCTCACTTTTTACAGAATACTAACATGTAATTTTTTCACAATATAAACAAATTTACATGAAAATTGATAAGAAAACTGACCAGGCATGTTGAGAAGTGTCTTTAATTTTACAATTCCATTTGATAAAGATTATACCCTATTAACTTAGTGCTAGGGTATTAGTAAATTGAAAAAAACACTTGTTGATGTTTCTACATCATTCTTGTTAATTTCGTCCACACTTTAAGCCGCGAGTTGTTTTTCCTTGCCGCCTACGCCAAAAAACGAATGTAGCGCTGAGTGTGACAGTGAAATAATCCAACAGCTCAACACATGTGTCGTTGAGCAGGATTTAGGAGGACCCAGCGCCTTCCGCGTCCACCTGAGTCACCTGGGCGCGCCCAGGGGGGTTGCCGCGCTATTCGTGGTGCAAGCGCCTGGGTGCTGAGCAAGCACTTCGTCACGCCATTTCAGAGAGTTTTTTTTTGTGCTAGCAACTGGCACGAGTCCCACGTAACGGAACACTTTTTTCAAATAACCTGAAAGATAGTATTAATAGATATGCTTATCTGTAACACAGTATAGTTTACGTTTCTATTTAATGCATGTCATTGAAAACTTGTCGCTTTCTTTAAAACCAGTAACAGACTGTTCGAGAGTATCAAGTAAGTACGCTTGTTTTTATCTGTGTTACCATGGTGAAGTAAGAATGAAACGCAGAAAAATGAAACAGTGCGATACCAATTCAAACAAGATCTTGTCAAGTTCCTTACTCTGGCAAGTCATAGAAAATTGCACAATCATCGTGTATTTTTCAACAGAGCGCTTGAGATGAACAGCAATCTTCTATGATTGGGTGCGCGACCAGAGATATTTTATAAC